GGGAACCTCAAAGGAGAATTGACCTCACAATACAGTGTACAAATGGCAACAGGTGAGCTGTGAGATGGACAGGGGGTCATTCCCTTCTGTAAGTTCCCTCTCATCCCATGTCTCAAGAAACCCCCTGGTCAGTGACCTAGCTCGGGTTGCTGAGCATGAACCTGGGCTGATACCAATCATTATCTGGGAGAAGGCACGGGTCACCCGTTCCTGGATTGGTTTGGTTTTCACCCCATAAATTATGGGGTTGAGCATGGCGGGGACGACCACGTAGAGGTTGGCCAGCAGACTGGCCCCAGTGTCCCCCATTGCATCCACAAAGCGATGGGCATACCAGGAGAAAAAGGCCGGTGTGTAGAAGATGAGTGTGACGCAGACATGAGAGCTGCATGTCCCAGTTGCCTTGCGCCTGGCCTATTTTGCAGGGCTGGATGTTGTGCTCATTACTGTGTCCTATAGCCTCATCCTCAGGGCCATCTTTCAGCTCCAGTCCGAGAGACGGCTGGTGGGCAACCCATATCAAATGTTGACCCTGATATCCGCACGGGCCAGCCGGGCAATGCCCATGTGCTCACAGTACGTGCGAGCCATGATGTGATGTTCCCTGCTATCTTCCTCCTCCGGAGGCTGCCCTACTGTGGACATGATGCAAAAGTCTTTCAAAACAGCAACCAGGGTTATTTTCCCAATCACGGAGTAAGTTAGGATAGTTGCGTATCTCAGGGGGTCGCAGATGGCCATGTACGGGTCAAATGCCATGGCCATCAGGATGCCCAACTCTAAAATAAAGATGAAGTAGATCAAGAACATCTGGGTGAGGCAGGTGTGGAAGGAAATCTCTATTGAATAGGCCCAGAGCACACTCAGGGTTGTAGACATGGCGCTGATGGACAACAAGATATCAGCAAGGGCCAGCAAGGCAAGGAAGATGTACATGGGCTTGTGAAGGCTGGGCTCGGTTGTGATGACAAGCAGCAGGACAGAGTTGCCGAAGAAGGCAGAACGGGAGGGAGATCCAGATGTTCAGAGCTTCCATGCCTGGAAAACCAGAGCTCATTTCCCAGACTCCCAGAAAGGTTTGTATAGGAAAGAGCTGGAGCTGCAGGAGCGCTGTCTCGCAGCCACATGGAAACTCCCTGCCTCTCACCCCCGCTGCATCCTCCTCCTGCAGCACTCAAAGAGGACTCACCCAGCTCCTGCCAGTCCCGGGAGTGAGGATGCTCCGCCTCTGATACAGGCAATGGGAAGTCGACACAGACCTGGGCTAAATGCTGAGATATTTATGTTGACGACAAGTCCCAGCGGGGCCTGAAATCATCTCCCCACAGCAGACTTTTGTGTGATGGCTTGGGGGTGGAAGTGCTGGCACAGCTGATCTGCCTTGGCTCCACTGTACGTCCTTCTCTTCATGGAGGACACAGTGTGGTGGGAGAAACCTCCCTAAGGTTCGTTGTCTAGCTGTAATTTGATTGACAGACAACGCGGGTAAAGAAAGACAGCTGTTTATTTGCTCGAGCAAAGACCATAAAGCCAGCAAAAGGCAAAATGGCCCCCCCCTAAGGGTGAGGTGATCTTTTATACTTATTACAACAAGGCAAGACTTTATGGTTAACAAAAAAAGCAATACTTGGGCGGTGCTTTTCAAATCTTTGTAACAGCATATTTCTATTAAGCTGACATAGCACTTTTTTAAAAGCTAAAAGTTAAGTAACAGTAACATTATAATATGTTAGCAAAACCTTACACAGTAGTAGATACTTCTCAAGGACACAACCAGTGCACCCAGAATAATGGTTTCCCTGTCTTATCTTACTTCTTGCTGTAGTTGATTTTTCAGCACACAGACACAGATCCACGTTTTAACTCAGAAAATGCTTAATACAGTAAAATTGATTACTTGACACAAGCAAAGGCTTAGCTATCAATCTGCCTTGGGGTCAGCTGCATTGCTAGGCCACAGGTCATGCCTTGTATTCAGCTGTAAAGCTAATACTTCTTAATAATCTAAATTATTGTAAACCTAACAGTATGCGTATCAGAAAACTATTCTATTTCAGGGTAATAACAAACCTGCGCACTACAACAGCCAGGAATATCCTCCCCCAACCCCATTGATGCCATATTGCCATGCTGTCTAGATGAGGTCCCACTCAGGCTGGATGGGACCTCATGAGGTGCCATCCAGCACAGCCTCCGCCTGACTTTCCTATACTCGTATAGGGTCAGAGAGATGCTCAGATGGCTATGGTGACAGTGGGCCAAAGGCAGGATCAGCCTTGGCTAACCCATCCCAGCCACATATCTGTCCAACCTGCTCTTAAAGACTTCCAGGCATCGAGATTGGGTTATTGCAAATTCAGAGAAAGTTTCTGACTCTGCATGACTTCTCCAGGGGCTGGTTGCAATGCTCGACCCCACTCAAAGGCAAAGCTTAAGGCTGCAGTGGAAGGTGGGCACCAGATTCACTGCATTGGACTTGGGGCAGGGAGATTTCCAATGCCCATGTTTCAGGGGCTGGATCCTTCCCCAGGTGGGGCCTGAGCTATGGTCCAAGGCTGGGCTGCATCACTCACACGAACCACTGTCACCTTGGGCTGATACCAGGCACGCTTGCAATTCAGAGCTGAACTAGAAGGAGTGGGGAGGGAAGTGCAAACTGGACCCCTCCCTGTGCTCTCACGAATCAGCACTGATCTACAGAGCGCAGTTTGGGAACTGCTGTATGTGTCCATCCTTCCTCCACTGTTCCTACAAAACAATGAACAATGGGCTCAAGTTGCAGCAAGGGAAGTGGAGTAAAGTTTCTCCTAATATCTAACCTCAATTTCAGTGCTTTACTACCCTCCTAGTGAGAGTTACCCAGAGAGGTGGTGGAGGTTTTTAAGACCCAGGTAGACAAAGCCTTGGCTGGGATGATGTAGTTGGGGCTGGTCCTGCTTGGAGCAGGGGGTTGGACTAGACGTGACCTCCTGAGGTCCCATCCACCCTCATTTTCTATGGTTTTATGATACATGTCCGGTGGGCCATGTTCCCTGCTGGGTAGCACAGCTGAGGAGCAAAAGGCCAGAGGGAGTGACCAAGGAGGGGTGATTGCAAGAAATCCAGGTAGATGTGGTTAACACCATGAAGCAAGGAGTGGATTTTGGGAAGGACACGGCTTGGCTGGCTGACAGGAGACCCTACCAGAGAGGGACCTGTCAGCAGCTACTGCATACTCTGATCTCTGCCCAAACCAGCAGCTCTGCCCTTGGACTGGCCTTGCACAGAGGATGCTTACTGCTCCTATTCTGCCTGAGACCTCAGGATGCTCCGAGACAAGGAGTCTGACTCTCCTGTGGTCAGAGCAGCATTCGAGCCAGGTGTCACGGTCCAAGCAGTAGCACCTCTGCTAACCCCGGGGGGGCAGGGGATTTCCACAGCTCTCTAGGAGAGAAGTAGAGCAGGTCCCCTGGGAATTAGGCAGTCGGAAGAAGAGGAACAGCTGGACTTTATAAAGGGCTGCAGAAAGGGGTGATCAGAGGAACAAAGCCATGCAGGCGTCGCAGGGTCTTCTGGATCTCCGAGCGACTGCTGCATCCAACACAGCCTCCCTGCATGTGTGCATGGACATCATCACCCTGATCAGGTGCCAAAGGGAACATGGTCTTTGCCCATTTCCACAGCAATTGCCATGTTTAACCTCACATGTAGGGCCCCAAGGAGAGGGCACTGGGCTGGGAAATGGGAGTCCACCCAGTATCTCATCCCCAAACTCACACAACAGCTCCCCGGAGGGGCCGAGAAAGTGGCTCATCCTCTCTCCTCCTTGTAGGCCTTGCTGGAGCACCGATCAATATAGGCTGCTCACACAAAGGCTTTGCTAAAGCATTGGCCTGACCAGGACTCACCAGCAAACCTGACTTGACATGAGCCTGCCAAGTTTCATTTATCCTGCCTCAGAGATGGGGGGAGAGATGATGATACAGGGTAGGATACCAGTTCAGTACCAGGATGATAAGGTGGAAACAGGAACATCCAGGTTGGGATGTGAAACAAGGCCATGGTGCAAGACAGTTTGGGACGTTGTAGGTCCAGGCAGGATGCAATACATCATTTGTTTTGATCACTGTATAAAAGGAGAATTGGAAATCAGGGGCAGTTTGTAGTGGCCTGGGGGAACCTGCGTGGGGTTGTTCTGATGTCCTTGTCACGGGTACAAACAGTTTAGTGACAAAGTATATCTGTTAGACCAGGCACTATTGCAACACAATTTGGCCTAAGATCTGACCAGGTTTATTGTCTACCCTAACCCAGATTGTGGTCGTTCTTTACGACAAGATTAGTGTTGGGATCTACTGGCTGTGACGTTGGCTGGCTCTGCAGTTCCTAAAATTTCAACGCTAACAGCACATCAATAACACCCAATGAAGACACCAGCGATGATGACACTAATAAAATGCACTGAGCTGTTCGTACATAAATCTCAAAGAGTTTCACAAAGGTGGTGTCCTCACAGAAGGGCTCAGGGAAGGTGAGGGATGTTATCTGGGATTATTAAAGCATGCATACATTATATATATATATAGATCACACACAGCAATAAGCTAGAACATGATACAAGGTACATCGAAAACCTAGCTGAGATGAGAGAAGGTCTGTGATATGCAGGTACTGACATCGTGGCTGGGTTAAAGACAGCGTGAAGTATCCTAAAACCATGGGACATCCTGGGTCACCAAGTGCAACCCCTGCTCTTATAAGCAACCATGTTCTACCATCTCGTGAATTTGTTTAGCCAGCTCCATCTTCACCTGGTTGGGGTCTTAGCCCCACTACCCCCGCTGGATGGAGGTCCTGATTCTCCAATGTAAACATCAGGATCAGGACCCCAATAGTTCTGGTTCCCACTTTCATGTGGTCTCTGTCCCAGTGACTCATGAAGAAAGGAGGGTCAGTCCCAGTTCATTGCCAAACACTCACTGGGGAGCACCTCTGCCCAGTGCCAGCCCATAGGGCTGCATTCAGCATCGTGCCCACATCTGAAGGAGCATCTGGGCCACGTGCCCTCGAATCTGCTTGGTTTTCACCCCATAGACGATGGGGTTCAACATGGGGGGGACGATGACATAGAGGTTGGCCAGTAAGATGAGAAGATGCTTTGGGACGTGGTGACCGAACCGGTGGGTCAGGAAGGAGAAGAAGGCGGGGGTGTAAAACATGAGTATCACACAGATGTGAGAGCCGCAGGTGTTCAGCGCCTTCATATGGGCACCTCTGGATGGGAAATGCATGAGTGTCCAGAGGATCCTGAAGTAGGAGAAAGCAATGAAGATGGCATCTATTCCCGCCGAGAGAAACGCAGCTGCCACGCCATACCAGATATTGACCGTGATATCAGCACAGGCCAGCCGGGCCACTCCGATGTGCTCGCAGTAGGTGTGAGGCATGACGTTGTGCCCACAATACGGCAGCCGCTTCAGGAGGAAGATGACGGGGAACATGATACAGAAGCTCCTAGCGAGAGCTGCTGCCCCTATTTTCCCTATGACCGAGCGAGTCAAAATCACCGTGTATCTCAAGGGGTTGCAGATGGCGACGTAGCGATCGAATGCCATGGCCAGCAGGATGGCCGACTCGGCCACAAAAACAAAATAGATGCAGAACATCTGGGCAAGGCAGGCATGAAAAGAAATCTGCTTGGAGATGGACCAGAAGATGCTCAGAGTCTTGGGCACGGTGGTGGTGGACAACAGCAGATCAGCCGCAGCCAACATGGAGAGAAACACATACATGGGCTCGTGAAGGCTTCGCTCGGTGATGATGGTGAATATCAGCAGAGAGTTTCCCAGCAGGGCCACGATGTACATCAAGCAGAAGGGGATGGAGATCCAGATGTGAGCATCCTCCAAGCCCGGGATGCCGACCAGGATGAAGAAGGCAGGGCTGGAAGTGCTATCGTTGGCAGCTAACATGGTAGGAGGCAACATCTATTCAGTTTCATGTAGATTTCCCCACCTGTGAGGGAACAAGAGCATATTCCCCATCAGATTGGCCCAAGTATGGGTTTGATGAGGGGTTATATCCACCCAGACTTCAGCCCTTTGCTGGTTAGCCAGGCTGGAGGGGATGCCCTTTTGTGTGAAAACGTAGGAAGCCCAAAAATGCTCAGGAAAGCCTGCCCAGCACTTGACATTTTTTACTTTGCCGACAAAGGCCCAGGGGATGATCTCACAATTGGTACCAGTCATCAGGAAACACCCCTTCTTCTTTCCTCTGCAGGCTCCCCCGAGCTTGCTGACTTACAGTGGGGAAAATCACAGAATCACAGAAACTGAGGGTGGAAGGGACCTCGGGAGGTCACATCTAATCCAAGCCCCTGCTCAGAGCAGGACCAGCCCAACTACGTTGTCCCAGACAACTCTTTGTCGAGCCGGGTTTAAAAACCTCCAAGGATGGAGATCCCACAACCTCTCTGGGTGACCTATTGCAGTGCTTTACTACCCTCCTAGGGAGAAAGTGTTTCCTAATACCCAACCTCAACTTCCCTTGCTGCAACTGGAGCTGTCATCCCCCCCCACTGAAACCAGTCCAGCTCCATCCTCTTTGCAACCCCCCTGCAGGGAATTGAAGGCTGCAATCAAATCCAGCCTCAGTCTTCTCTTCTGCAAACTAAATCAGCCCATTTCCCTCAGTCTCTCCTCACCAGTCCTGTCCTCCAGCCCCCAACCATTTTTGTTGCACTCCACTGGACTCTCTCCAATGTGTCCACATCCTTTCTGTAGTGAGGGGCCCACAGCTGGACACAGGACTCCAGATGTGGCCTCCCCAGGGCTGAATAGAGGGAAGAATCACGTCCCTCCATCTGCCAGCAATGCAATGCCAATGCAGCCCAGGATGCCGGTACCCTTCTTGGCATCAAGGGGCACACTGCTGGCTCCTATCCATCTTCTTGTCCCCTGTCCCCCCAGGTCCTTTTCTGCCCAGCCAGTCACTTTATAAATCTATGGTGCATGCACACCTTGAAGGCTGTGCCCAGTCCTGGGCCCCACACCTCAAAAAGATGATAGAGGATGTCCAGAGAAGGGCAGCAAGGATGATGAGCGGTCTGGAGAGACTCCTAACGAAGCCAGACCCGGTCAGTTTAGAAAAACACACTTGAGCGGAGGGGCATGAGATGGGTTTGACAAAATACTAAATGGAAAATAACAACAAGAGAGTCAGTAATAAATCCCTATTGATGTTCATTTTAAACTGACTACCTGCTCATTTCCTTTTTTGGACCCCTAATTCTTATTCAGGGTGATAATGAATTTCTCTCACAATGGGGGCAACGAGTCCCGTCCTTTTAATGACACAGAGGCGGTGCACGCTGGCAGGTCAGCCAGATTCACCAAGGGGCTGGACGCGTTCTTGGAGGAAAGGGGCATTAGTAGCTACTGAGGGGCACGGCCTCTGCATCGGAGCTTCCTGCATCTTAAATGCTGGAGGCTGCAAGTGAAAGAGGAACATGACAAAGAAAACCCTGGTCATGCTCCCTTCCAGCCTCCACTCTCTGTGACACTGGAGACAGCATGGTCCGACCCCAGTTAGACCTGTTAGTACCATCAGTCAAGAAAGTATGTCCACACGAGCGTGAGCCTGGGACTCCGGTTTCTTTGCAGCCACATCCATGCATCCAGCACGGGGAGGGCAAACAC